ATGGGAACCCACCAGAGAGAAGTCCCCATATTCTGTATTCCCGGGATTCCACAGAGGAAGGTCACACCATCCCTCACCATCATCAGGTAGATGAAAAACAATCACTGATATAATGATTAGGATCTGTATATTATCTGCATTGTTATAATCCATTGAATGTTTATTGTATATTAAGAACGTTGTTGTTAAAGAAGAAATAAAAGAGGAAGTAAATGAGGACGATGCGTTGAACAAGGCAGAGTTTGCAACGGGACATAAAGATCTGACCCAGGACACCATGGTGGAGTTATCCAGCTACTTATCCCCACCAGAGAGATGTCCCCGTCCTCTGTATTCCTGGGATTCCACACAGGTAGGTCACACCATCCCTCACCATCATCAGGTAGATGGATCCAGTCATGGGAACCCACCAGAGAGATGTCCCCGTACTCTGTATTCCTGGGATTCCACACAGGTAGGTCACACCATCCCTCACCATCATCAGGTAGATGGATCCAGTCATGGGAACCCACCAGAGAGATGTCCCCATCCTCTGTATTCCTGGGATTCCACACAGGAAGGTCACACCATCTCTCACCATCATCAGATAGATGAGGAACAATCACTGATAGTATCATTAGGATCTGTACATTATCTGCATTGTTACCATTGATGTCATTTTATTATATATTTAGAGTGGAAACCTGACAGAGTCTAAAGTTGAGGTTAAAGAAAGAGATAAAAGAGGAGGAGGATGGGGTGATGGAGGAGTCAGAGATTCCAGAAGGACACAAAGATCTGTACCAGGACACCATGGAGGAGTCGTCCAGCTACAGGAACCCACCAGAGAGATGTCCCCATCCTCTGTATTCCTGGGATTCCACACAGGAAGATCACACCATCCCCCACCATCATCAGGTTTGTGGGATGGATCATCTAGAACATTCTGAAAGCTTGTAGAGTTGATGTGTGGACCCTATAAGATGATATTTGTCTATGTGGTCTTACATCATTAATCTTATATTTTACAGATGATATTTTCTCTCCTTCTCTTGGTTTAGGGTGAAGATCTGATAGATATAAAAGTTGAGGTGAAATCAGAAGAAGAAGAGGCGTATGTGAGGGATGATCAGCAGTCTATGGAGGAGGATGGAATAACGGGGACATTTAAAGAGGAGGAGACCCCAACAGAGATCAGCACAGGTGGGTCATGATCACTAAATATGGTCTTTTGTCCATACTCCTCAATGATTGGTCCAGAGTAGGGCATGAACTCATAAAAAGGCTTCCCAGCACTACCACCTGCAAATAAAATATTAAGTCCCTCCCCATTCAAGGGACACCACTGCCAACCCCCCCATTCCTCCTAGCTGATATTGCAATTAACCAACCTCACCGCTTCCACACAGAGACTCACCAATCCCCCCCAGACCCATGTGGCACATTGCCCCTTACTCACTGCACCTCCCTTCCATCCACCTGTTACCCCAACTTACAGCTGCTCCCCACCACCCACCTTATCTCCTCCTCAACATATCCTTTCCTGTTCAATTACCCCCTTCCTCCAGTCATAGTGCCATCTTGTATACCTGGTCCCCTAGTCACAGTGCATCCCATCCCGTTTAATTCATCCTCCCCATCCCCGATCATAGCATCTACAATCCACCTGGCCCACAGCATTTCCTTCCCATTTGGCCTCCTGTCTTACAGTGTCTCCCTCCCAACATTTCAAAATAATTCCTTTATACCCACCTCACCTCCTGGTTGGAGCAGGTGTCTCCTACATATCTTATGTCCTGGTTGGAGCAGGTCTTTCTTACCCATCTCATCTCCTGGTTGGAGCAGGTCTTTCCTACCCATCTCATCTCCTGGTTGGAGCAGGTCTCTCCTACCCATCTCATCTCCTGGTTGGAGCAGGTCTCTCTTACCCAGCTCACCTCCTGGTTGGAGCAGGTCTTTCCTATCCATCTCATCTCCTGATTGGAGCAGGTCTTTCTTTCCATCTCATCTCCTGGTTGGAGCAGGTCTCTCTCTATCTCCCCTCCTGGTTGGAGCAGGTCTCTCCTACCCATCTCCCCTCCTGGTTGGAGCAGGTCTCCCCTACCCATCTCCCCTCCTGGTTGGAGCAGGTCTTTCCTACCCATCTCACCTCCTGGTTGGAGCAGGTCTTTCCTACCCATCTCACCTCCTGGTTGGAGCAGGTCTTTCCTACCCATCTCACCTCCTGGTTGGAGCAGGTCTTTCCTACCCATCTCACCTCCTGGTTGGAGCAGGTCTTTCTTACCCATCTCACCTCCTGGTTGGAGCAGGTCTTTCTTACCCATCTCATCTCCTGGTTGGAGCAGGTCTTTCCTACCCATCTCATCTCCTGGTTGGAGCAGGTCTTTCCCACTCGCATCATATCCTTTCCTGGCTGTTTTACACTCCCATCCCAACACCTCCCTTCCACCAATCTTGCTAATCCATCAGAATGCCTACCTGCCACCTCACCCCCTAGCTTACTTCAATTCCCTCCAACTCACCTTGTCCTTTGGGTTAAAGAGTCTTTCTGCCACCCACCTTGCCCCATGCTCATTTTGTTTTTGCTGAAACCCACCTTATCCCCCCGGTCACAGAGTCTCCCTCCTTCCTACTTCAGCACGATTCACAGTGCTTCTATCCCATCAACCCACCTTTTACCTACTTTATATTGCTGGTTCAGATTATTAACAATTAGTGTGTATAATCAATAAATGAATTGACCACTAGATGGTACTCTAGAACTAGGTTTCACGGTTCACATGCTCTGCTTCATTTTTCAAAAATAGAACAATAATATCATATAATTTTTTTTAATTCAAAGAGACTCTTAAAATATCAGTCACATACAAGGGTCTTGGGAAGCAAAGAGAGGCAGGTGGCACAGTGTAGCTCAGGGGTGTCAAACTGGAAGCCCTCTAGCTGTTGCGAAACTACAAGTCCCATCATGCCTCTGCCTTTGGGAGTCATGCTTGTAACTGCGAGCCTTGCAATGCCTCATGGGACTTGTAGCTTGGCAACAGCTGGAGGGCCACCAGTTTGACACACGTAGCTGTAGCTGAATAAAAAGAGGGGAGGTTTGTGTGCAGAGGAACACCAGCACAGACTTGAGGCTGCAGGAACAGTAGAGGCACAGTGGAGGCTTTAGGTAGCGGGTGCAGAGAAGGTGCAGCAGAGTGCAGAGGAGGTGCAACAGAGGTTTCAGGCTGTGGATGCAGAAGTGGTGTAGTGGAGGCTTGAGACTGCAGATACAGCTGAATCTTGACTGCAGGTGTAGTGAAGACTTTGCTGTGGGTGCAGCTGAAACCTGGCTGCGGGTGCAGGTGAGATTTGGCTTGGGTGCTCCAGGTACAAGGGCGCAGCTGAGGCTGGGCTTGGGTGCTCCAGGCACAAGGGCACAGCTGAGGCTTGGCATGGGTGCTCCAAGCAGAAGGGCGCAGCTGAGGCTTGTCTGGGGTGCCGCAGGCACAAGGGCGCAGCTGCCGCAGGCACAAGGGCAGCTGAGGCTTGACTGGGGTGCCGCAGGCACAAGGGCGCAGCTGAGGCTTGACTGGGGTGCCGCAGGCACAAGGGCGCAGCTGAGGCTTGGCTGGGGTGCCGCAGGCACAAGGGCGCAGCTGAGGCTTGGCTGGGGTGCCGCAGGCACAAGGGTGAAGCTGAGACTTGATTGGAGTGCCGCAGGCACAAGGACACAGCTGAAACTTGGCTGGGGTGCCGCAGGCATAGGGCGCAGCTGCCGGTTGGCTTGGGTGCTCCAGGCACAAGGGCGCAGTTGAGACTTGTGTGGCTGAGGCTTGGCTAGGGTGCCGCAGGCATAAGGGTGCAGCTGAGACTTGGCTGGGGTGCTGCAGGCACAAGGGCGCAGCTGAGACTTGGCTGGGGTGCTGCAGGCACAAAGGTGCAGCTGAGGCTTGGCTGGGGTGCTGCAGGCACAAGGGCGCAGCTGCCGGTTGGCTTGGGTGTTCCAGGCACCAGGGCGCAGCTGAGACTTGGCTTGAGTTTTCACTTGCGGGTGGAAGCCTGTCATATGCAGCAGTCCTCCATCTTCAAATCCAAGTGCCTGATGTGGACTGAGTCTTGGTTTAGTTGGACCAATCCACTTGTGTCTAGACGTAATCTTTGTTTTATTTTCTTTCAGTACATGGTCAGCACATCAAGAAAACCTCCAAGGATTGTCTCACTTTGTCTCCAGACTGTAAAGTAGAGGACATCACACAGTATAGTCCAGGAGAAGACTTCTTCACCAGAAACACCCAACCACTGCCATCCAGTGTAGATGGATTATCGTATTCCTCGTATCCTGAGGAACCTCAGAATGTGCAGTACCGGGCCGGCCTTCAAACAGAGAAGAGGTTTTGCTGTCCACAGTGTGGGAAATGTTTTCACTTTCAGTCCGGCCTTCGCGTTCATCTAAGGTGCCACTCGGGTGAGAGGCCGTATTCCTGCACTCAGTGTGGGAAACATTTCCGTTTCAATTCGAACCTTCACGTCCATATGAGATCCCACTCCAGTGAACAGTCCTATCCCTGTACTGACTGCGGGAAAAACTTTCGTTTCAAGTCCAGTCTTCGCATCCATATGCGATCTCACTCGGGCCAGCTTCCGTATTCCTGTTCGGAGTGCGGACAGTTTTTTTCCCGACGAAACCACAACTTGTCGTCCATCAGAGGTCTCACACAGGCGAGAAGCCGTTCTCCTGCCCCGAGTGCGGGAAAGGTTTTGTCACCAAGTCAAATTTAGAGAGGCACCAAATTTCTCACACGGGAGAGAGGCCGTTTTCCTGCCCCGAGTGCGAGAAATGTTACGCACGGAAATCGCAACTTGTCATGCATCTGAGGTGTCACTCGGGGGAGAAGCCGTATTCCTGTACCGAGTGCGGGGAAAGTTTTCTGTGGCAATCCCAACTTGTCCGACACCAGGTATTTCATACCGGCAAGATGCCGTTTTCCTGTGCCGAGTGTGGGCAGAGTTTTCCATTGAAATCAGAACTTGTCAGACATCAGACGACTCACACGGGGGAGAAACCGCATCCCTGCCCTCAGTGCGGGAAATGTTTTTCCCAAAAGTCCTACCTTTCTGTCCATCTAAGATCTCACACGGGAGAGAAGCCGTATTCCTGCTCTGAGTGCGGGAAATGTTATTCACAGAAATCACAACTTGTCATTCACCAGAGGTTGCACACGGGGGAGAAACCATATACCTGCCCTGAGTGTGGGAAATGTTTCTCGCAGAAGTCCTATCTTTCTGTACATCAGCGGTCTCACACAGGCGAGAAGCCGTATTCCTGCTCTGAGTGCGGGAAATGTTATTCTCGGAAACTAGAACTTGTCACACATCAACGAACTCACACGGGGGAGAAACCTTATTCCTGCCCTGAGTGTGGGAAATGTTTCCTGCGTAAAACAGACCTCACTACGCATCAGAGATTGCACACGGGGGAGAAGCCGTATTCCTGCCATGAGTGCGGGAAAAGTTATTCACAGAGGTCCTACCTTTCTATACATCGGAGATGCCACACGGGTGAGAAGCCGTTTTGTTGCTCTGAGTGCGGGAAATGTTTTTCCAACAAGTCCAATCTTTCCATACATAAGATATGCCACACTGGTGAGAAGCCGCATGCCTGCCCTGAGTGTGGGAAATGTTTTGTACGTAAATCAGATCTTGCTAAACATCACAGCACTCATGGGGGAAAAGCTACATTACAGGCCTAAGTGCGGGAAATGTTCACAAGTCCTGTAAGTGCCGGTTGAGTCCCTCCAGCAGTGTAGTCTGATCACCCCTGCTAAGCAGAAAGAACACAATTCTGGTAATAGAAGAGCTACATATTCCTTATGGATTAACAGGGGAGATCAGACTACATGGTACATCTGACAGTCTTTGTGAGGCAGTAGTACTGCCCTCCTGAACAGGCACCTGCGTTTGCGCGAAAAACGCCACCAGCTGGTTGAAAGTGGTAAATACAACATTTTCTGATGTAACATTTCATAGTTACCTGATAATACATCCAACGATATATATATATACGGTTTTTAGTAGATTTGATCGGTGTGTCTTCAGGTTTGTATTACGATTTTCTTTTATTCTTTTAAAAAAAAAAATAAAAGTCATAAAGGTTTTCATCTTTGTCCTGTTTCTTTGTGGTATGGACTAAAAAATCATCTGCTCACCATTCCAAATCTCAGGCCGTCTGTAGCATACTCCAATGATAAGTCCATCAGTCCATAGACCCATCTATCATTCCTCCCGTAATTCCTCCTCCGCACCATCACCTTGTTGGAACAGCCGACTCTCCCCCTTCTCATAGACCTTAGGACGTTTCTGTAGTTTACTCCAATGATAAGTCCATCAGTCTATAGACCCATCTATCATTCCTCCCGTAATTCCTCCTCTGCACCATCACCACCTCCAACCACAAGGTCATTCTTGTCTTCTTTTCCCTTCTCTTTTCTCCATTTCCTTGCACTACAAGTACGGCCCATCCTATAGGTTTTAGTCTCCATCTTGTGTCTTAGTAGTTTGGTGTTCCCAGCTTGTCCTTGTTGGAACAGCCGACTCTCCCCCTTCTCATAGACCTCAGGACGTCTGTAGTGTACTCCAATGATAAGTCCATCAGTCCATAGACCCATCTATCATTCCTCCGGTAATTCCTCCTCCGCACCATCACCTTGTTGGAACAGCCGACTCTCCCCCTTCTCATAGACCTCAGGACATCTGTAGTATACTCCAATGATAAGTCCATCAGTCCATAGACCCATCTATCTTTCCACCCGTAATTCCTCCTCCGCACCATCTCCTTGTTGGAACAGAGTAGGGCATGAACTCATAAAAAGGCTTCCCAGCACCACCACCTGCAAATAAAATATTAAGTCCCTCCCCATTCAAGGGACACCACTGCCAACCCCCCCATTCCTCCTAGCAGATATTGCAAGTAACCAACCCCACCGCTTCCACACAGAGACCATTCCCATTTGGCCTCCTGTCTTAGTGTCTCCCTCCCAACATTTCAAAATAATTCCTTTATACCCACCTCACCTCCTGGTTGGAGCAGGTCTCTCCTACATATCTTATCTCCTGGTTGGAGCAGGTCTTTCTTACCCATCTCATCTCCTGGTTGGAGCAGGTCTTTCCTACCCATCTCATCTCCTGGTTGGAGCAGGTCTTTCCTACCCATCTCATCTCCTGGTTGGAGCAGGTCTCTCCTACCCATCTCCCCTCCTGGTTGGAGCAGGTCTCTCCTACCCATCTCCCCTCCTGGTTGGAGCAGGTCTCCCCTACCCATCTCATCTCCTGGTTGGAGCAGGTCTCTCTACCCATCTATCTCCCATCTACCCATCTCTCCTGGTTGGAGCAGGTCTCTCCTACCCATCTCACCTCCTGGTTGGAGTAGGTCTTTCTTAAGATGTTCCTTTTTACATGTGGTCAAAAAGAAGATGTTGCTGTCCGGTTGAACAACCATGTTGATATCATAGACAGCATAGGTGCGGCAATGGTTGGGAAGATAGTTACCACAACCATAGCCACGCAGTCCTGTAGTGGAGACTGAGCACATTACTGCTTGTGTAATGTATATGAGGTGAGATTTTGTACCCTTGGACCAGATGTTCCTTTTTATCATGTGGTCACAAAGAAGACATCAATGTCTAGTTGAACAACCACATTGGCCTCATAGACAGCATATGTATGGCAATGGTTGGGAAGATAGTTACCACAATCATAGCCAAGCAGTCCAGCAGCGGTTGCTGAGTACATTACTGTGTGTCAATATGAGGGTTGATGTTACTTTTAGCTCGGCCCTGTATTATTGTTCCCAGTGGAAAGCCCAATTTGTCCACTGGACTACTTGGTTATGATTGTGGTAACTATCTTCTCAACCATTGCCATACACTGAGGAAGGTTTGCTTTTTGTCTTGAGTCCTTGGAGATGGAATCCCTTTGTCCAGAATGTGCAACAAATGTGTTTTTTTTTTATAAATGCATCAGGTCTCAGGAGTCACCCATTCACTGTAGGAGATCTGTCCACCCTTCCAGTAGGTGGTGTACACAATGCTGTGGTCTCTATGATGACCGATCGACGGCCAATCCTTCTGGTAATGAGCCATAATAGATGTAAAATATGTGATATGGGGGCTGGTTACCTCAGTAGTGGTGAGTCCACGTCAGTTCAAACTGTGTTTTGAGGACACAGCAGCCCACTTTTGTTTAAATGAAAAGCAAAATAACAGTTCTGAAAGGTTGTCGCTAGCCCCTGGCTATCTGTCTTTATCAGTCTGTTGAAGATACGGACGCGTCCAGAGGATTGAGTTCACCTCAGAAGCAACAGACACATGCACACAGTGATAGGTGAAATCAATCTCTCAGTTTATTAACGGGAAGAAAATTAATATAACAGAAAAAAGAAAGGTGGGGGGCACAGAGTATCAAAAAGCTGCGTTGTCAGTAATTGATTGGCTGAATACAAATAATGCAAGCATTGACGTAAATTCTGAAAAGTGATGAGAAGCGAGTTTCACTTTCCCAGGAATAAGGAAAGTTTCTACATTGTTTTAAAAAACGTATCTACTACATACAATAGAATCTTGCTAGATACTTGTCAAGGCTGTGAACATGATTTTTCTCAGGCCTTGAAATCAATTACAAGTATCCAACAGTTATTTTCCCATGGGACAGAAGTATTTGACTTTTAATTATATCATAACAGAAACAGGTGCTGTTAGTACAAAAAAATAATTGGATACTATCCCTGCCTCTACCAAGGCTAAACTAAGATAAGAAATAGAAGAATATTGTGAGTACAGTTCTGTAACACATAACTGACACAGCATATTTTCATTAACTCATTCTGGGTATAATATAAAACAATTAATCAATATGGAGTACAAAATATAGAATGGAGTGGGGGGGGGGGAAACAAAATAACAGATCTAAAAGACATACTGTACATTTCCCTTCAAGTTCCAACAAAGATTCCCACGCACAGGATTTTCCACCTACAGTAAAACAGCAGCAGCACCTCAGCTTTCTTTGGTCTCCCAGACCACTAACTATTCAGGCTCTCTCCTGGCCTCCTGATAGGGTTTTCCAGCCTCTTGAGTTTGCTACCTCTAGAGCCTTCCAGATTCCCCTCAGCCCCCTGGACCCGCTACCCATATCAGCTTTCTCGGCCTCCCAGTCCCGCACAGCTGTCTCGACTTTCTAGTTATTGGGCAAGCAATCCCCCTCACAAGGAATGCAGTCTCCAGCAGGAACTCCCAGCTCTGTCAGGAGGATTCTGTCTTCAAACGGCAGCAACTGCCCCGAGCTGTCCTCAGATCTGGCTTATAGCGATCCTGTGCACCTAGTCACACACCCAACCTGCAGAACTTAGGAAAACCCAGACACAGGATTGAAGCTTCTGTCCCACCCAAGACACTTGGAACCTTCCAACCCCAAGTCCCGATTCGAGGTTACTAAACCATGAGAAGGCTCAAAAACAGCTTTCTCCACTCATAACAAATACTCTGGAGCTTCGCATTAAGTCATAATGTGATTCCTGTATCGTTTCTGCCTTCACTACCTAGATCCACATAGTTGTGGGGCCTTGCAGTGTCACAAATGTCATAATTTAGGTGGGGGTAATATAGGGGTAAGAGGTTACTTTATATATCTTGTCATATTGCATATCATACTACAATGAGGGTATCAGGATGTCTTGTAGAGATTGATGAAAGATGTGGAAAAAAGGGTCACCACCATTATTGGGCCAGTGGGAAGAACATGGCTAGTGAGAACATCTCACTGAACTTGCCATATAGACTACGCAGTAACATATCTCTCTCCCCCTTGGTGGGAGTGGAGATGACTCCATATATAAAGCTGGGATACATTATACAATTTCCTGTCCAATTTCTGCCCAATTTCCTTTAGATTTACCTTCAACTGTGTAGTGCAAGGGCCTGCCTAATTGGATACATCTGAAAGTGTTGTTAGTTTTGATCTCCTATTATATGGTTTTTGGTAAATTTAAACCAAAAATCTGGAGAAAATTGTATAATGTATGGACAGCCTTAGGCCGGGTTCACACTACGAGACATTTCCCGGGCTGCAATTCCTCTGAGCTCAACAAGGTGGTCATCTCACTTCTACCCAGACAGGAAGTCTCTATGGTGGATAGGAAGTGATGTCAGCTACAGACAGGAAGTGATGTCAGGGGTGAGAGGAGACATTGCTTGAAGTGGCAACAGAGGAGGTAATAAGTTTGTATTTTCAATTTACACCCAGTAATTCTCCCCCGTTGTGTCCTGTTATCGCCAGCAGACACTACTACTCCCATATATGAAAATATGTCTGAGAGTAAATATATAATTATTACACAGGATTTATATAGCGCCGGCTTTACAATATAAAGGGAGAAAGTACAGTTACAATGCTATTCGGTTTGGAGGACCCTGAGAGCTTACAATCTAAAAGAAAGAGTCAAGTGATAAAAAGAGGTAATAGCTGCGGGGCATGAGCCGATGGATGAAGTTCAATACAATCGTGGTTGTTATACCACTCCTTTTCCTTTGTAAAATTTGAGGAGAATAATTAATTTAGTACAGTTGCCTTTTCCTTGGCATTTGTAACCAACTTCCCCTCATCATCCTTTATGGGGACAATATGTTAAAGCATTAAGGACAGGCTCCTATAACACAATCTCAGTACTAGGAGCTTGTGGCTCTGCATTAAGCACATGAACCTTTCCAGTAATGGCATTCTTGAACATAGTCCCTTCTATCATCCCCTCTAATAGTTTACATACTATTGATGTTAGACTGACTGGCCTGTAGTTTGCAGGTATGCATCTCTGTCCTTTTTTGTATATTGGTACCACAAGGGTACATTCCGTGACGCGTTACTAACAATACAATCGTGGTTGTTATACCCCTCCTTTTCCTTTATAAAAACTGAGGAAAAGAATTTGTTTGGTACAGTCTCCTTTTCTCGTCATTTGTGAACAGCTTTTTCATTAAAATGGTGGCAAACGCTTAAAAGAAAGTACTGTCCCCACTGCAAGTTAATGGCATAATGTGCTAGTATGAACCGCATTCAAACACATTATAATAGACTTACCTGTGAAACGGATCCCTCCAGCGGCACCCCGCCACTGCTGCCAGGGCTTCCATCTTCACCCAGCCTTCCATCTTTCCTTCCAGGTTTGCAGGCTCTGGATGTTTGAATGTCTACGCCACAATGATGTCACTCCTGCACATGTGCACAGAAGTCGTGATTGTCGCACTGCACTCTGGATTGAAGGCACATTCAGTGCACATTGAGCATGTGCCAGCTGTAGAACTTGTGAATATCTCCTGAACAGCGCATGTCTAGAACATATTCATTGTATCTACACTCAAGCTATATTATAAGCTGTGTTGGACTCCTTAGGGCCAACAAAACCAGCAAACTCCAAGCACTGCAGACTAAGTGTGTTCTCTCATTCCGGTCAATTCTCCTCCTGATAATTCTCTGATATCCGTCTATAGGGAAAGCTGCATAGATCACATGACCACATTACTGAGGATGGAGGAGGACCGGAGTCACATGACTGAGAGGATGCTAAACCTCACCCTGGAGATCATCTACCTGCTGACCGGAAAGGTGAGGAGGATTCTGGGAGGTCACATGACATCACACAGACCTGACTGGAGAGGTGAGGAGTATTCTGGGAGGTCACATGACATCACTCTTATCTCTATTAATAAAACACAGACCTGACCGGAGAGGTGAGGAGGATTCTGAGAGGTCACATGACATCACTCTTATCTCTATTAATAAAACACAGATCTGACCGGAGAGGTGAGGAGGATTCTGAGAGGTCACATGACATCACTCTTATCTCTATTAATAAAACACAGATCTGATCGGAGAGGTGAGGAGGATTCTGGGATTTCACATGACATCACACAGACCTGACCGGAGAGGTGAGGAGGATTCTGGGAGTCTAACATGATGTTCCTATTGGTTCCTCAATACAGAGATTTCCTCTTCTGAAGTCAGGTGACCATATGACCATCACAGTGCCTCCATGTGACTCCCTAAACCCTAAGAGGCACAACATGCAGAAGATTCTAGAAGTCACCCAGAAGATGATGGAGCTGCTGACAGGAGAGGTGAGCAGTGCCGGGAATTCTGGGACATTCTCCAATAACAGACAAGGGATATGTCTGGATGGTGACTGTATCATTGTGTGTGTCAGGTTCCTATAAGGTGTCAGGGTGTCACTGTCTATTTCTCCATGGAGGAGTGGGAGTATTTAGAAGGACACAAGGACCTCTACAAGGACGTCATGGTGGAGGACCACCAGAAAGGACACAAGGATCGCTACAAGGACTTCATGATGGACAATCAGCCACCCCTCACATCACCGGGTAAGAGGAGACTTTATTGGAAAGGAAAGAGCAGTACGGAGGCTCCACCTAGATCCCCCATCATCTGATAAACACATAGAAACAATGAATTCAGTCAGTGTGTGTGTGTGTTTCCTACAGATGGATCCAGTCATGGGAACCCACCAGAGAGATGTCCCCGTCTTCTGTATTCCCGGGATTCCACACAGGAAGGTCACACCATCCCTCACCATCATCAAGTAGGTGGGATGGAGCATTTACAAAATGGAGAGAGATCATGGAGATCTATAGACTTTACAAGATTTTATTTTCTATCTTTGGTTTAGGGTGAAGATCTGATAGACATAAAAGTTGAGGTGAAAGCAGAAGAAGAGACGTATGTGAGGGGATGATCAGCAATATACAGAGGAGGCTGGAATGAGGAGGACATTCATAGAGGAGGACACTCCTACAGAGATCAGCACAGGTGACCAGAATATATTCTTCTCTTATCTCTTCTCTGTTACCGCCCCCCCCCCCCCCCCCTCCCAGCCCCCATTGGTTCCTGTTCATTTGACAAGGCGATGTAAATGTAGAAGTGATCTGGGAGGACCAAAGGCTCTTTGAAGAGGGGAGGAGTCCCAGCTGGTTGGGACATCCACAGAGAACATCTGCTCCCTCCTATCTCCCTGATCCAGATGGAATCTTGATGGAAGTGAACTAACCCTCTCATATCTATTGATGATGTTTTTCTATTTTTCCAGGACCCGCCATGGAGAAACCCTCAAAGGATCGTCTCACTTTATCTCCAGGTTGTAAAATGGAAGATGAGGACATCCCAGGAGATTGTGCCGGAGAAAAGACAATGAGCTCCACTAGGGATGGTGGACTTCCCAGTGTGGAGAGACCATGGAATCTCTCTGACTCTGAGCACCCTCGTACAGTGGGGGATGGGGCCGGGATTCAGGGGGAGGAGAAATTTTTCTGTCCTGAGTGCGGGAAATGTTATCCATGGAAATCAGAACTTGTCAGACATCAAAAGAGTCACACAGGAGAGAAGCCGTATTCCTGCCCTGAGTGTGGAAATAGTTTCCTGTGGAAATCAGCACTCGTCATACATCAGAGATCTCACACGGGGGAAAAGCCTTACTCCTGTCCTGAGTGCGAGAAATGTTTTTCACAGAAATCCCATCTCTACAAACATCAGAGATCTCACACGGGGGAGAAGCCATATTCCTGTTCTGAGTGCAGGAAATGTTTTTCACAGAAGTGCCATCTTTCAGTTCATCAGATGTGCCACACTGGTGAGAAGCCGTATTCCTGTCCTGAGTGCGGGAAATGTTATCCACGGCAATCAGACCTTTTCATGCATCAAAAAAGTCACGAGAAGCCGTATCCCTGCCCTGAGTGCGGGGAAATGCTTTTCACAGGAGGCCTATCTTACTGTACATCAGAGGTGCCACACAGGAGAGAACCTATATTCCTGCCCTGAGTGCGGGAAATGTTATCCAAGGAAATCAGACCTCGCCAGACATCGAAAACTTCACACAGGCGAAAAGCCGTATTTCTGCCCAGAATGCAGGAAAGGTTTTTCACAGAAGTCCAACCTTTCCAGACATCAGAGATTGCACACGGGAGAGAAGCCGCATTCCTGTCCTGAGTGCGGGAAATGTTTTCGTCATAAACTTTCACTGGACGTACATCAGAGATGTCACACAGGGGAGAAGCCCTACTCTTGTCCTGAGTGTGGGAAATGTTTTATAGATAAGTCCAGTGTTTCCAGGCATCAGAGAACCCACACAACCCTCGAAGTGTTTTAGTGTCCCCAGTCCAGGCGATATCTTCTATATGAATTGTTCCTCGGAGATCTCACACACGGAAGAACCCGACCTTCACGTGTTCTGTGACTTTGATATTTAGAATGTGAAAAACACTTCATCAGAAAATTAAAGATTACAAAGTTCACAAATTTGTCTGCCTTACATTGCTACGTGAGGGGGCCGTGCCATTGGTCCATGAATCCCTCCTGTAGTGTAGTCTGATCTCCCCTGTCCTTCAGAAGAAACTGAGAAAAGCAGTAGATTGGCTGTCACAGTGGTCACATGATCAGCAGCCCGTCCTACCAGCTTCTGATCACAACCCATGACTGGGAACGGCCCTTGATTCTTTTCTGCTGCCCATGCAGCCAAAAGTGCATTACACAGGCCAGGGGTTCTGCAGCATCATATCATGGTGGTGAGCTGGCATTGGCCAGAACTGGCATGTGACCACATTGACCAAAGAGAATCGCTCTGGGCTGTCCAGGTGTTCTAAAAGCAAGAAGGGGGCAGAAGAGCACATCAGCTGAGATAATTATCCAAGGAGGCAAGTGTAGGGGCAACCGGGGTCATGGGAAGGGTGTTGTGAGATAATTCCTCCTTTCATGTGTTGTGAAAAGGTGAACTAAACTTTTAAGGACCACCCACCTTTCTACATTGCATGGTCATCAAGACGCTAAATTACCAATCCAACTGCCCCAAAAGTTGGTTTGAACCTGAATAGGAAGTTCTCTCTTCTAAGGTTCCTCAGAATTGTGACCATGAAAGCCCCTTTTTCTCCTACACCAAGTGATAATCCATGCCTAGAATGGTTATAACTAATGAATGAGGCATGGAAGGTAAGTCTTCAGGTAAGGTCAGTGTCATACTAATCAGCAGTTGTTGAATTCCCGTCCCAATGATTGTGAAGGTGTGACTGGATATAGAGCGGAGCCATGACTTTGGATAGATGTAGGCAGAAGACACACAGGATTCGAGCTAAGCTCCAGATTATTGTTTCAGAGTAGAGAAGACTGGCTTGTCAATGTTCTCTGGGTTTTGTAATCCTGGATCAGGGTATGGAGCTTGAAGGCTTCAAAGTGTCTTAGGTGGGACGAAGCCTTCAATCCTGTATGCAGGTCTTCCTGGAGACCTGCAGGTTGTATATGTTTGGCTCAGGGCCTCATCTGGAGAGAGCTGTGTGTTCCATCCACGAGAAATGTGGGAAAGAGCTGAGGATGGAATGGGCCTGGAACGCTGAAGTCACTAGGGCCACTGAGGATGGAATGGACCAGGAACACTGGAGTCACTAGGGCCACTGAGGATGCAATGGGCAATGAACACTGGAGTCACTAGGGGCACTGAGGATGGAATGGGCCAGGAACACTGGAGTCACTATGGGCATTGAGGATGGAATGGACCAGGAACACTGGAGTCACTATGGGCACTGAGGATGGAATGGGCCAGGAACAATGGAGTCACTGGGACCACTGAGGATGGAATGGGCCAGGAACACTGGAGTCACTATGGGCACTGAGGATGGAATGGGCCAGGAACACTGGAGTCACTATGGGTATTGAGGATGGAATGGGCAATGAACACTGGAGTCACTAGGGCACTGAGGATGGAATGGGCCAGGAACACTGGAGTCACTATGGGTATTGAGGATGGAATGGGCTATGAACACTGGAGTCACTAGGACCACAGAAGATGCAATGGGCCAGGAACATTGGAGTCACTAGGGGCACTGAGGATGCAATGGGCTTTGAGCACTGGAGTCACTAGGGGCACTGAGGATGGAATGGGCCAGGAACACTGGAGTCACTATGGGCACTGAGGATGGAATGTGCCAGGAACACTGGAGTCACTATGGGCACTGAGGATGGAATGGGCTAGGAACAATGGGGTCACTAGGGGCACTGAGGATGCAATGGACTATGAACACTGGAGTCACTAGGACCACTGAGGATGGAATGGGCCAGGAACACTGGAGTCACTATGGGCACTGAGGATGGAATGGGCTAGGAACAATGGAGTCACTAGGGGCACTGAGGATGCAATGGGCCATGAACACTGGAGTCACTAGGGGCACTAAGGATGGAATGGGCTAGGAACAATGGAGTCACTAGGACCACTGAGGATGCAATGGGACAGGAACACTGGAGTCACTAGTGGCACTGAGGATGCAATGGGCCAGAACAATCGAGTCACTAGGACCACTGAGGATGCAATGGGCCAGGAACACTGGAGTCACTAGTGGCACTGAGGATGGAATAGGCCAGGAACACTGGAGTCCCTATGGGCACTAAGGATGGAATGGGCCAGGGACACTGAGGATGCAATGGGCTATGAACACTGGAGTCACTGAGGATGGAATGGGCCAGGAACACTGGAGTCAGGGTGTCATCATGTGTCCCCATCAGAGTGCCCCCTTACATCAGGGTCCCCATCAGAGTGCCCCCTTACATCAAGTGATCCCATCACCGTGCCCCCTTACATCAGGTGTCCCCATCAGAGTGCCCCCTTAATTCAGGTGTCTCCATCAGAGTGCCCCCTTACATCAGGTGTCCCTATTAGAGTGCCCCGTTACATCAGGTGTCCCAATCAGAGTGCCCCCTTACATCAGTGTCCCAATCAGAGTGCCCCTTACATCAGTGTCCCCATCAGAGTGCCCTCTTACATCAGTGTCCCAATCAGAGTGCCCCTTTACATCAGTATCCCCATCAGAGTGCCCTCTTACATCAGTGTCTCCATCAGAGTGCCCCCTTACATCAGGTGTCCCCATCAGAGTGCCCCCTTACATCAGGTGTCCCCATCAAAGTGCCCCCCTTACATCAGGTGTCCCCATCAGAGTGCCCCCTTACATCAGGTGTCCCAATCAGAGTGCCCCCTTACATCAGTGTCCCAATCAGTGTGCCCCTTACATCAGTGTCCCCATCAGAGTGCCCTCTTACATCAGTGTCCCAATCAGAGTGCCCCTTTACATCAGTATCCCCATCAGAGTGCCCTCTTACATCAGTGTCTCCATCAGAGTGCCCCCTTACATCAGGTGTCCCCATCAGAGTGCCCCCTTACATCAGGTGTCCCCATCAAAGTGCCCCCTTACATCAGGTGTCCCCATCAGAGTGCCCCCTTACATCAGGTGTCCCAATCAGAGTGCCCCCTTACATCAGTGTCCCAATCAGAGTGCCCTCTTACATCAGTGTCCCAATCAGAGTGCCCCCTTACATCAGTGTCCCCATCAGAGTGCCCCCTTACATCAGTGTCCCAATCAGAGTGCCCCCTTACATCAGGTGTCCCCATCAGAGTGCCCCCTTACATCAGTGTCCCCATCAGAGTTTCCCCTTACATCAGGTGTCCCAATCAGAGTGCCCTCTTACATCAGGGTCCCAATCAGAGTGCCCCCTTACATCAGTTGTCCTAATCAGGGTGCAGCCTTACATCAGTGTCCCAATCAGAGTGCCCCCTTACATCAGGTGTCCCCATCAGAGTGCCCCCTTACATCAGTGATCCTTAATCAGAGTTCCCCTTTCATCATTGTCATCATCAGTTTCCCCTTACATATGATAAGTTATCCTCATCAGAGTGCCCCCTTACATCAGGTGTCCCTATCAGAGTGTCCCCTTACATCAGGTGTCCCCATCAGAGTGCCCCCTTACATCAAGTGATCCCATTAGAGTGCCCCCTTACATCAGGTGTCCCCATCAGAGTGCCCCCTTACATCAGGTGTCCCCATCAGAGTGCCCCCTTACATCAAGTGATCCCATCACCGTGCCCCCTTACATCAGGTGTCCCCATCAGAGTGCCCCCTTAATTCAGGTGTCCCATCAGAGTGCCCCCTTACATCAGGTGTCCCTATTAGAGTGCCCCGTTACATCAGGTGTCCCCATCAGAGTGCCCCCTTACATCAGGTGTCCCAATCAGTGTGCCCCCTTACATCAGTGTCCCCATCAGAGTGCCCCCTTACATCAGGTGTCCCCATCAGAGTGCCCCCCTTACATCAGGTGTCCCCATCAGAGTGCCCCCTTAATTCAGGTGTCTCCATCAGAGTGCCCCCTTACATCAGGTGTCCCCATCAGAGTGCCCCCTTACATCAGGTGTCCCCAATCAGAGTGCCCCCTTACATCAGTGTCCCAATCAGAGTGCCCCCTTACATCAGTGTCCCAATCAGAGTTCCCTCTTACATCAGGTGTCCCCATCAGAGTGCCCCCTTACATCAGGTGTCCCCATCAGAGTGCCCCCTTACATTCAGGTGTCCCAATCAGAGTGCCCCTTACATCAGGTGTCCCCATCAGAGTGCCCCCTTACATCAGTGTCCCCAATCAGAGTGCCCTCTTACATCAGTGTCCCAATCAGAGTGCCCACTTACATCAGGTGTCCCCATCAGAGTGCCCCCTTACATCAGTGTCCCAATCAGAGTGCCCCTTACATCAGTGTCCCAATCAGAGTGCCCACTTACATCAGGTGTCCCCATCAGAGTGCCCCCTTACATCAGTGCCCCATCAGAGTGCCCACTTACATCAGGTGTCCCCATCAGAGTGCCCCCTAACATCAGGTGTCCCCATCAGAGTGCCCCCTACATCAGGTGTCCCCATCAGAGTGCCCCTTACATCAGGTGTCCCCATCAGAGTGCCCCCTTAATCAGGTGTCCTCCATCAGAGTGCCCCTTACATCAGGTGTCCCCATCAGAGTGCCCCCTTACATCAGGTGTCCCCATCAGAGTGCCCCCTTACATCAGGTGTCCCCATCAGAGTGCCCCCCATACATCAGGTGTTCTTAATAGAGTTCCCCTTTCATCAATTGTCATCATCAGTTTCCCCTTACATATGATAAGTTATCCTCATCAGAGTGCCCCCTTACATCAGGTGTCCCCATCAGAGTGCCCCCTTACATCAGTGTCCCCATCAGAGTTTCCCCTTACATCAGGTGTCCCAATCAGAGTGCCCTCTTACATCAGGTGTCCCAATCAGAGTGCCC